CAGTGTGAGGAGCGGGTGAGGGATTCCCGCTGGGGACCAGCACAGGACAGCATCTCCTACTTGGGCATTCACATTTTCCTTCATGCAATGGGCATCCCAGGGCAGGTGTCCCTAGGTCCCACCTGCTCCCGTCCCTGTGGTCTATTCTTAGCCCCTGACACAGGTGCTGGCCTGGAGAAGGGGCATATCCTGCAGAGGCAGTCTGTCTGCTGCTCTGGAGCCATCATTAATAGCACTCATGACCTTTGGCTCCAGAACACTCCTGCTGTGTCCTGCCAGTCAGTGCAAAGGAAGGTACCGAGAGAAAGAAGATGATGCCTGGGAGCTGAACAAGGCAGAAAGAGCCGGGTAAGCAGAGGAGAAAGCTAGGACTAGATCAAGTCGGTGTCTTCTGGTGTTCAGCCAGTAGCAACAGATCACAGCATTTGGAGTGTGAACCACAAACCTTTAGACCATCCAGAGATGGGAAGGGCGAGGCCGACTTTGTCACTACATCTTCCTTTCCCTCAAGGAAAGACTTAGAGAAAGCCCGTAAGAAAACAGACTTGCCTTTTACATTGTTAAGCATTTCAAAGTTGAGACAGGCACATGCTGACTTAGGATGCTCTTAAGAGCTAATGAGGCTGTAGAGCCTGCGGCTGGACAGCCATAACCAACGCTACATTCCAGAGGCTGGGCTGTAGATGAGAAAGGAAAGTTGCCCAAACTGGGACAGAGCTCAGTTTGAGGAGAGGAGATAATGGAAGGACATACTTGAACCTGGAGGAGGCTCCCATAATGCCCTTCTCACGTCCTTGATGAAAGGACCAGAGGCTAAGCCTAGCTTCCTTCCTGCAGGACGTGATTTTGTGTCTTGAGAAGAGCAGAGCCCAGGAATCGGTGGGTGTGTGATATGCAGTGTCCAGAGCTGCTCCCTGGGAGACTGGTTGGGTACTGGAGGAGCTTGACACCTCAGAATCCTCTCCTTCTCCTTTGTATTGTCTTTCCCAGGAGCATGCTCCGATGTCCCTGGCAGTTTTTCAAGTGCCACTTGGGTCCTGGGAATTACACTGACCCTTCTTCCCTTTACATGTCAAATTTGTATCCCATGCCTCAAGCCAGATCTGGTGCGGCTATTTTAGTATTTGCCAATTGCTGTGCAAGTAGATGCAGGATGACCATACACAGCCACCTGGAACGAGACTTCTTATCACTGCAGGGTATTGGACACACCCTAACCTTATTCTCACCTAGCCTCCTTCTCTACGCCAGGGGCCCAAACCTGCACATGGCAGCCATCTTGCTCTGCTTCAAGGTAGAGAAATTTTCACAGGTCCAGAAGCATCAAGACTTAGGGCTCATGAGAGACCCAGTCAGTGAGACATGGAATAGACAAGGGGAAAGAAAATCACGAGTTCTTTGGGGGCACATGAGGCATTGCAAAGGGAGCTCAGATGCAAGTGGAGAAGGGGCACCTGGCCTTCCCAGAGCTGCTCAGGGGGAGACAAACATCTGGCGATGACAACAGGTCAGGCTGCAAGAAGAATGGAGAAAGTGATATGATTTGGTACTTTTTTTAAAAAAAAATACCATATGTTTTTCTGAGAATGGGTTTGTACTGGATCTGAAACCAGGAGCATGAAAGGTCTGGTCTTTGGACCAGAGAGGATCTGTTCTCATTTAGCCACCATGGGACCCTAGGAGTCACTGCTGTTCAGAGGCCACAGGGACAACAAAGAATTAGGTGATTCGGACAGTTAGGAAGATGGAGCCTGCTGTCTCCCAGCTCCCAATCTACCTGGGCTTTGTGGATTCGCCCTGACATCGCTGGTTCCAGTCATGGGACAAGTCTGACCTTAAAGAGCAGAGAAACACCTTATAGAGACAGGCTGTGTTTGGGAAATCAGAAATTCTAGGGCAAATGGAGTCAATGGGAGCAGGTTTGATGGACTTAGATCCCCTTAACTTCCCCTATTATGTCCTTAAGAGACCTGAAGAGTCCCAAGGGAGAGCCATCCAAGCTTGAGGGGTGGAGGGGAGGCTTGCAGAAACAATGCCAGCAAAACCAGTTCTTGTTACACTGATTGGACCATATTTCTTAGAAATATGAACAAAAAAACAACTGCTCTGTACGTGCTTAGAGAAATGAAATACGGAGGTCTATTGGCATAATCTATGTTGGGGGGGCAGCAAAATGAAAAGAAAGAACAAGGTACCAACAGGCTTACCTACCAAAGCTAAATACTTGGAGTTGGTTGTTTGCCATCAAGAGGTCCAGGGAAAGAAGCAGGTGCAGAGATTTCGTTTGCAAGCACTATAGGTTGCAGCTGGGGAAAACTTAGATGGATTTGCTAACTCGTGAAAGGAGAAGTTGTCGGGGGCCCAGACACTCTGCCTTGGTGCAGTGGTCCTGCTGTGGGGTGCCAAGGTCATCTGGGAGGAAGACACTGAGGATGTGTGAAGTCCACTGGTGACGACACCTGGGAATCAGCCAGCCACCAATAGCCTCTGAAGGAGAAGGACACTAGAAGATGTCACGGGAAGCAATGCCTAAGAACAAAGGAAACAGGAAATGGGGCTCTAAACGATGTTGCTCCCTTCTGTTTTGCTCTCTGCATCTTGGTTCACTTTTCACCCCCTTCTTGTCTCTGTGGTCATCCGGGCTACCGCCCAAAGATGCACATTTTCAATTGCATTATTGGGAAAGGTAAGGCATGATGGAGGAGTCTAGAGAGAGGGACGGGAATGCTACTAAAGAGGGAAAGGAGCCCAGACTCACCAGGGCTACAGCATAGGGCTGGCGAGACACCATGGTCTCCTCCTCCTGTGCTTCCCCTGGCTAAGGCTACCCTAGGCTGGAGCCTGTTTTCCCAACGTTGGATGCTCCCAGTCAACAGCCATAATTTCTAAGCTTTGTGTAAACATGAACACATGTGCTTTGCATGTGTGCTAGAGACAGAGCAGTTACGTGGAGGGGGCAGGCTAAAGCCAAGGGTGGGGTCAAAGAGCAAGAGATAAAACGGAAATGAGCCTAAGGCTAGACAAGTCAGGTGGCAGAGGTCCAGAGGGCGCATGCGGCCCTGAAGCTATTCCAGTGACACACAGAGCCCCAAACCTGGGAAGAGCAAGAGTCGGGATCAGAGCTGGCCAAAGGAATACCTGGCCACCACACAAATGAACTCCAGAGCACAGGCTGGAGCTTGGGGACAGAGCCCCAACAGGTGCTGAAGACAGACTGAACACATCTTGTGGGCGCTACCTCTGTTCACCATTTTTCATGCACAGATCCAAGCTGTCCCTCTCTCCCTGGCTTACTCCTGCCTGGCAGAGGAAGCCCAGCTGGTCTTCACCTCAGCCCAAGTGTGCGTGTTTGTATCCTGCTTCCCAGAGCAGGGACTCCATATTAGGGGGTCCTGCAAAGTCACGGTAATGCATGAGATACGGGGGTGGGTGGGACAAAGAGGGAGCAGTTAGTTTCACAACTAATACATGTTTTAAGGTTTAAGGGAGAAAAAAAAATTGGATAAATGGTGAAGAAGTGACAGGGAAGGGCTTTTTTTGAATAGTTATTTAAAATAAAATATAAAAAAATTCATCAAACATAAAAAAAATCCTCAGTTTTTGAACTTTTCTTAAGTATAGCTCAGTGTGAGGTCTTGCACCCTGAACAGTTATATCCAGAATTAAAAAACAATCACAACCACAGACAATAAAGACTAACAGTATGTACTTAAAAATACTGTGCATGTATATATAGATATATATATATTTACACATATATATCTTTTGCGGAGATATTTTTCTTTTATGATTAATTTTCTTTTTTTCTTTTCTTTCATTTTTTTATGTGTGCCCAAGTGAGATAGAATGGTATCAAAATAATACCGTAAAACAGAAATACTCTTTAAAGGAACAGTACCTTCCAAAAACAAATTAAAAATTTTACAAATGGTCAAGCATACTTGTGACACCTCCAGAAATTCACCTTGGTATAGTGAGAAAAATAAACAGTCGTCTCAAATCCTCACCAAAGCCACAGGGCCTGAAGGAAGAGTTTCTGCTGCTGGGTGGGGACTTGCTCTCCAGGTGGATGGCCACACTCAGATGCCACTTGGCCCACCTTTCCATCCAGCCCCTTACATGTCCCTTTCCCAGCTACCACAGTATCTGCCTCATTTCAATTTTGTGTATTTCTGGCAAGACCTTACAGCAGGTGTACACACACACACACACACACACACACACACACACACACACTCCACTCACCCCAAATGCACCAGGCTGAATGAGTCTCAGCCAACCACATTGACAGAAGCACCAGTCTGTGAAATGGGTTGGTTAATACGATTTGACTTTTTGATATAGAGATAGATATTCTAGTGTTCCTCTTTATGTTATTTTTCAAAAGCACAAATGAAAAATGAAAAAAAAAACTCTTTCCGGATCAGTTTAAGGCTCCCTACCAAATGGAAAGAGAAGAGGCCTTCCACACTGTCACACGTGACACACACGCGCCCCTCTCAGCCTTAAAATGACGGAAGAGATCATTGTCACCAGTCAGGGACTAAGTATTGTGCCTTTAAATTGATGTCATCCTTTTTGCTACCATGCTGAGTTGTATCATTACTGATTCTCTTTGACGGTGTTTATGGACATTTCCTTTGATCTGCTTTTAGAATTTACCAAATTGGGTGTTTGGGGGCTTCATTCTTGTTTTGCCTTTTTGTTTGTTTGTTTGTTTTTCTTTTTTTGCACGGGAAAAACAATACAATTCTTGCTAGGCAAACGTTAAAATGGCACATAGTCAGCCTTCCAGTAGCTTTTCCGGCCAGTGGAGATCCAAGTAGCCCTTTAGCTTCTAGAAGGCTTTGCAAAACGGGGAAGGGGCAAGAGAAACTGAATAAAGAGAGGGGTTTCTATGCCTTTGCTTTTGGTCAGTTTGTTTGTTTGTTTGTTGTTTGTTAGATTTTCAATACAAATCATCAGATAGGAAGGATCGGTTTGGTATGGTATCTGTTTGTTGTTTTAATTTGTTTGTTTTGTTGGTAGATTTTGTTTCGTTTGATTATTTAATTTTTTTTTCTCTCCTGGTGTGAAAGTCACCAGAGAGTTTTGTGTGAGAAAACATGACAGTACCTAAAGAAACTCAGCACCTAAGGGCATAAGGCAGTTGAAGGTTTCTGTTTGCTTGTTTGTTTAGTTTAGTTTAGTTTTGTTCTCTCAATCAGCACCAATCCCATCAATGATCTACACTTGGTGTAAAGTAGAAAACTTTTTTGTTTCTTTTGGAGAGGAGAGAGCTCCTCCTTCTCCACCCTAGGAACTGTAGTGTGGGATTAATTTTTTTCAATACTGTTTCTTATGTGTAAAAAACAAAAGAAAGCTTTTCTTTTTGTTTTTACTTACAAAACATAGAGAATATCTTTGTATACATATAGTGACTGGAAAGAAAGCTTATCTGAAGGGGATGTGACTCATTGATCTTTTTGTAGTGTTGGTGGTGGCGGTGGTGGTGGTGGCGGTGGTGGTAGTGGTGGTTCTGTGTATTGGGGGAAGGGAGGGTTATATTTCTTGCAGGCGGCATTGACCGCAACCAAACTTAAGGTCCCCTTCTCAATCTGGGTCAAGGTGTTCTAGAGTGAAGACTCATACTGCAGCAGCTCATAGAGCAGAGGCCCATCTCGGTAGCGAATGCCCACTGCGGTGGGGGTGACGTACTGCAGGATGTTAATAGTCCTCCGCAGCCTCCTGTCTACAAAGTGCGCATCCCAGGCCGGGTACCGCTTTCTTGGCATGTCAATCTTAATCAGGGGCCCTTCTGGGTGGTAAGGACGCCCTGACGGGGTGGAGGGCCCCATGGGTCTCACTTGGAATACAGGCAGGCAAGTATCAGCCGTGAGGTCCTCCTGCTGTTCCGTCACGGCTCTGGTGGGAGTGACCTGGGTCCCCCGGTACCCAGGGGTCTGAGGTGCCATGGGCTCAACATCGGGGGGCAAAGGGATGCCCCAGAGCAGCTCGGCACAACAGGAGCTGGCAAAGACCTTAGCCCGCGGCCCCATGGGATGCAACACGCCATAGTATAAGAGCATGAGCGCAATCCCAGCCACAAAGCTAACGAAGACACAACACAGTGCTGGCACGGCATAGGAGTCAGTGCTCTCCGGGTTTCTGTAAAAATACCAAAGGAACGTCAAGGCAGCATTCTCGGTCAAGACTATCGTATAGTATGCGAACATTCGGTATCGAGTCCGCCCTTCCTTGACGTTAAACCAGCAGAAAATGTACACGATCCCTACCACCATGTTGAAGAGGATCTCCTCCCACTTGGACATGCAGAAGTCTGTCCCTCCATGGATGATCCAGAAGGCCATGGCGCACCAATGCACCACCACGAAGATCCCGAAATACAGCTGGAAGATGGAAGCAAATAGGGCGAAAGAGATAACTCGGGATGAGATGGTGAAGAGGCGCCAGAAGAGGTGGATGAGGGCCCCTCTGTAACTCATGCTCTTCTTGTCGTCCCTGGAGTCCCGCAGCAGCTTGTGATAGGAGGCTAGCACCCAAGCCAGGGACATCAGGGAAGTCACAGAGGAGACACCTGCCGAAAAGACACAAACCCACACAGTTAACACCTCGGACATCTACCGTGGACGCAGTGGATGGAACTCCTGGCTGAGGAGACGCCCACACACAATCTAGAGGAGGAAGGAGAGAGAAACAAAATCAGGCACTGGACCAGAGTCCCGGCTGTTTCCCACACCGAGAACTGTGGGTGTCTTAAGTCGGTTTCGGAAACCCCGTTGCAGTTTGAGAGTCTCGAGGCTCAGGGGCAGAGTAGAGAGGCCCTGCTTGGCCTGGATTGGAAAATGGGGAACATCTGTGATGAGTGGGCCCACTCGCTCTCTACCTTAAGGGTTCTTGTTGCAGAAGTCATCTTGGGTTTGTGGAGGTCCACCCTAGTTTAAGCTCCTCCCTCAATCGTCCTTTTCTGTGAGAATGCTGGGTGGCTCGCTCAAGGTCCCAAACGCCCTTCTCTGGGCCTTTTTCCACTCAGCCTTCTCCTTAACCAGACATCCAAAGTCACAGTGGGATGTCCGACCCCTCAGCTGGCACCTGTGGCACTGTCCTGACCTCTGCACACACCCTTCTTGCTCTCCCAGCATCCCCCTTGAGGTCCTCCCTTGCCGTGGTCCTCTCTCCTCTGGTCTCCCAGCTTAGAACCACTACCTCTAGTGATTCTAACTAGTGCTCCTTCCCCTCGTGGGTTTGGTGATATTTTCTGGGGGGCCTCTGTGGTTCATTCCCCCAGGAAATCCTCCAACACTCAAAGGCTCTAGGAGCTTGGATGTCTCTGAGCCCTGGAGCTACGCCAATTTCTCTAAAGCATTTTTTCATTCTGACTTTGCTTAATTGATGTGTGTGAACAAATCAAATGAGATGGCCACGATCACTACCAGTTACCATCCGAACCGCCCATGAACAGGTAGTCATCCACCGAGCATGGCTGCACAATGTCCTCTCACCCAGGATTCCTCTATCATCCCCGAGTTCCTCACGCGCAGTCCAAGTGAGCGTCTAACACCCCCTTGTGTAATCCTTTCTGAAATTCAGAACTAAATGCAACTGGAGGCCCGGCTACCATCTCATTGATGGTCTCCTTACCAAACTGTCTATTCTCACAAGCACGGCTCTCCTGTCACCGTCTTCCAAGCCGAAATCAGCTCTATACTACCCACTAGTGTTAAAGTCAGGTTCAGGTCCTCAAGGGACCAAGAAAGACGCCTCAGAGCCTCGCTTGGGTCCCTGCACACTACCTCATAAGGATTCAGATTTCAAGGAGGAAACAAAGTCCTTCTGCTTGCCGGTTCCAGAATTATGATCCTGCCCAGCTCACGAATCTCCCTCCTCCCCTCCTCTCTGGGTCTCAGACTGTAAAATAGTGTCCCAGGAGCCATAACAAACCCAGCGTGGGCAGCACACAAAGCATCGAACATCCAGATGTTTGACTGCCACCGGGAGCATGTGCGCTGCTCATAGCAACGAAGACACAAAACGAACAGGAGCACAAACGACGGGGCACAAACCACTCGAAAAAAGATCTTTAGGGCAGTGACGGTGGATTTTCACCCAACCTCTCTGGAAAGTTCTATAACGGATCCTCGAATACCCTGCCTGCTTGTCCGGCTTGCAGGGCATCTATCTGGTCTGCATGCCAGAGACCATACATGGTTTGTGGTACAAACATTCAGAGACAGGCTGTGTTCTGGCTGCGAGGTTGAAGTAGGGATGGCAGGTCCTCATAGGATTCACTTGACCTGGGTGTGGGTTTCCAGAGGGAAGAGAACAGGAAGTCACACCATGGAATCTTGTGTCAGACTTAGTCCCTGGGACACTCTCAGGGAGTGTCAAACATTCTTGTGACTCCACTGCCACCTGGCTAGCCAGTCTTCCTTCCTTCTTCTTTCCTTCCTTCCTTCCTTTTTTCCTCTTTTCCCTTGAATTGGGGTGTTTCTAAGTATCCTAGATTGGTCTCAAACTCACTACTGTAGCTCAGGTTAGCCTGGAACTCAGTATCATCCTGCCTCAATCTCTAGAGTTCTAACAACTGAATTCATTTATTTTTAGTTGTATGCATGCACAGGTGTGTGTGTGTGTGTGTGTACATGTATTCATGTCTTTCTGTGTAAAGGCATGCATAGACATGTGCGCAAGCATGTAAAGACCAGAGGTCAATGTCGAGTGATATTTCTTAGGAGCTGTACATTATGTTTTCAGACAGGGCCTCTCATTGGGTTACCTAGAAGGCTAGGTTGGCTAGCTAGTGACCATCAGGGATGTCCTTGTCTCTACACCCCAATACTGGAATTACAAGACTTTTTATGTGATGCTGAGGATCAAATTGACGTCCTCATGCTTGCATGGTAAACACTTGATTGGATTGGCTGAACCATCTTCCCAGCCCCAACTCTCTCTCTCTCTCTCTCTCTCTCTCTCTCTCTCTCTCTCTCTCTCTCTCTCTCTCT